TTTAGGGTTTAGACCCTAAACCCCTAAACCCCTAAACCCCTCAACCCCTAAACCCCTCAACCCCTAAACCCCTAAACCCTATAGGCCTTAGGGATTTAGGGACCGATCGCATCCTTCTGAGGAGCCTTTGGAAGGCTGTCGTAAAGCCCTGCAACCCTGACAGAACCCCTAGAGATCCCTTTAAAGGAACCCCTAGAGATCCCTTTAAAGCCACACACACACCCTTGACCCCAAACGACACCTAAAAGACCCCAATTCAAAAACTCAACATTTCAGAAACAACGAACGCCAACAACAAAAACCAAGACACCAACGCATGCACAAACAAAAATGCAGAATAATGAACAACCCTAAACCCTGAACAATAGAACCCTAAACCTACGAATGCTTCGGCCAAGAAGCGTTTTGAAGAAGAGCCTTGGCAATTTGTGCGTGTCAGACACTTTGAGGGCGCTGTGTTTAGGGTTTAGGCTCCGTTTTTGGGTTTGGGCTTCCTTTTTGGCTGATGATATACATCCTGCATTACCCATAACAAGGAGTATACCATAACTCCCATAGTTTGGGGTCCTTCAGGTACTGCAGGACTTATATCATCAACAGCATGGGCATCCTGTCAAGATTCCTTTATGGGCTTCCCAGAGACTCCAATATCCCTTAGGAACCCTGCTAAGATTTAAGGTATATATTCCTTAAACCCTAAACCCCTAAACCCTAAACCCTAATAGTAAAGGGATACTGGAGCCTTAAACTAAAGGGACATTTGGAGTCTCCGGGCTCCATCACTGAAGGTTCCTTGAAGGGCTGGGTGAAGGGTTCCGTTCAGCGTTTCTTCAGAGTTCCTTGAAGGGCTCCTCTTTGAGCACTTTCCTCGGGGTTTGGCTACTCTGACGGTTTAGGGTTTAGGATTTAGGTTTTAGGGTTTAGGCTTTAGGGTTTAGGGTTTAGGATTTAGGGTTAAGGATTTGGGGTTTAGGGTTTAGGGTTAAGGATTTAGGGTTTAGAGTTTAGGGGGCGTTTATTGAAGGTACCATTTTGTGTGTGTGTGTGTGTGTGTGCGTTTTGGGGTTGATGGGATTTCTCGGGATTAGGGGATGAAGGTTGATGATCATGGGTCGCTGCTGTTCCTTTGAGAATTCTTTTGGGACAGAGATTGGGGCTTTGGATGTCTGGTGTAGCGTTTGGGGCGCATGGGGTTAGGGCTTCGGGCTTGGGGCTTTCGATATAGGATCTAGGGTTCAGGGGAGGCTTCTGTACGAAGGACTGTCGCGAGCCCTGGATACCTTTCGAGATGTTCCCCTCCAGCTTACCCTAAATTCCTAAACCCGAACTACCGAGAAGCAAGCCTAAGCCCTAAACCCTAAACCCTAAACCCCAAAATGCAAAGCCATGCATGAACCAATAATCTCCAAACCCTGACGGCCCCGCGGCTCCACGAAGGCGCAGTCTCTCCGGCTTTCAGGTTCGCGGCTATTATAGGAGCCTTAATAATTAGGCTAGGGTTTCGGGGCCCCTTATACGATAATTTTTGTATTATTTGAAGGAACCTCCCCCAAAAAATAATATCGGAAATGGGTAAAGTCTCCATATTAGGCACTAACCTTGGGCAATGGTCAGCCAATGAGGAAATCATGAACCCGGTCGCACGATCCGAAGACAAGACCGTGATAAGTTTCTAGAGCCCAACCAAACCCAAAACCCTAAACCATAAACCCTAAACCATAAACCGCTAACCCCAAACCCTGAACCCCAAACCTCTAAACCCTGAATAAAAATGTAAAAAAATGTATCCAACAAGGACCCAGTAAATCCCAAACCCGCTCGACACCTTGCCGTCCAGAAAACCTCTACTTATATATATTTACTTATCACCCCAATGAAGGTACTTACAACCATATTTACGAAAGTCCCATGATCATCCAAGTATCCATGAAACCGAAAACCCTAAACCCCAAACCCCACAAACCCTACAC